GCAACAAGCAGTTGGCCATAATTTTTGATACAGAAGCCAGGGTAGATTGAAAAAAGAAGATTTCCGAAACGAAGATAACAAAAAATTTATCATTTTCATTTAATGTTAAGTTGTCAGATGCATCAGTAGTACTTGTATACTTTATAAATACTTCTTTACTTACAATAATAACTTAAATAAATAAAAAATGTAATTGTAACTAGCGATATTAATTTAAAAACTGAAGCCCCACCAGGATGGCGTGCAAATCAATCCTTCTAATGACATTGACAGCTGTCAGTTAGTGATGTGATGTTTATACCAGTAATCAAGTGTTGCGCTAATTCTACAGCGTGGTACTAATTTTCTTAACAATATGTGCAATGTTATTCCAGCTGAACTTCCGCGTGGTGCTGGAGGTGGACTCGCAGGTGAAGGAGTTGATCTTTGACATGGAGGTGAACTCTACCAACCCCGAGCCGCCGCAGAGCCGCAACGACAACAAGATGCGCCTCGCCATTGCCGTCGTCGTTAAAGCTGATCTATCCATCATAGGGTAAGTTACTCATATCTAGAAAAGGCTAGCTGTTGCTCGCGACTTTACCCGCTTCAAATAAAAATATAATCTATGTAGCTGATAATGTAGCTTTTTAGTGGTGAAAGAATTTTTGAAATCAGACCAATAGTTTTTGAGTTATTTTAATACATACAAAAACACATTCCTCTTTATAATAGTATAGAGTGGTAGTTAAAAAGTAAAACTACAGTTTTATCAATCATTTTACGAAATATAAAGAAAGTCATAGTTTAATGTACAAATTATTAATTTAAAGTCTAATTCATACGAGTTTAATATATAATTTTTGTGGTAGCACGTCGGACCCCCCCGAGCTGCACTACAACGCGTCGCTGTACGACGCCCTGAGCCCTAAGAACGACTCCGCGCTGGGCCCGCAGATCGTCTACAAGTACAACATCAAGAACGAGGGGCCCTTCGCCGTCGACGAAGCGGACATCTACATTATGTGGCCTTACCAGACACTCACAGGTCATTAAACTGTCTACCCCAACACAATACTAAGAAGGAAGTAAAAAACATCATATTAAGATTCACCATATAAAGAGACCCACTAAAGGGCTCGGAGTATACCTAAGTAAGGGGTAACTAGGTCATGGTCAACCACGCTGCGCTGCAAGTTGGTTGACTTTATAGATATCTTTGAATTTTTTCGCCGATATGTGCAGGTTCCATCACGTTTTTCTTCACCGTAAGAACGTTGAGTTAATTATGTACATACGAAATTTGAAAACCACATTGGTACATGGCGAGATTCGAACCCAAGATCTATAGATTACAAGTCATGTATTCAAACCCTTGAGCCACCGAAATTCATTACTTGTATTGAAGTGTAAAATGAATGTTTATTGTGTGTTCAGGCGAGAACCTGATGTACATGGTGGTGCAGCCGCAGAGCCTGGGCGAGCTGGTGTGCGACGTGGCGCGCCACGTCAACCCTGACAACCTGCAGGTCGCCAACCCCTACGCCTACATGCTCACCAAGGAGAAGGAGGGTTAGTGCTCAAATTCATATAGGGCTAACTGTTTTCTTTGTAGTTTTATTGAGCTATCTTGTATTAGTAATGATTTTAGCATTAAATGATTTCTTTGTTTGTAAAAAATTATATATGTTTCAGCTATGTTGAGCAGCGGTATGTACGCCGCCGCCCAGCTCTCTGGAGGCGCCGGATACTACGGACAACGTATGTATTGAAATTATTGTCTACCTAGAAATACCTAGAAAAATCACAATTGACACATTCGAAATTTATAATGAATCAATCATTACAGAATTCTGGGAACAACAAACTTTCACAAATGACAACAGTCAGAGCGGTCAAGTGTCCGGTGGACAAGTGTACGGCGGCCAGGCTGCTGGCGGACACCGCGCCAGT